TAATGGTGCGCTTTTTGCGAGAGCWTTTATTTTGACTCATTAAATATGCAGAAATCATTGTTTGGCGWTTGCGTGACTAAAGACTTCTCGAAATAAATTCCCTTGAAACATCATTGTTTTTCAAATCTAGTCTATACAAATAAAAGAAAACATTAATATACTAACCTTCAACACGAAAAGGTCTTTTCCGTTGCTCCATTCATCGGCGTTATCAAGAAAGTAGAATTGGCAACCGTGGCGTTGGCTTGTTTTATGCAACCGATTTCCGAAAATACCATCTATCAGTAACTAGTCAGATTTCAATATAATACCTATATAGAACAGTATAAGGCCAGGGGTCCACCTTTGGCTATTTCTCCAAGAACTACTAGTCAGTAGCGCTTTGATAAATTGGTCTGTAATGTTTAACAGGCAATTGTTTGCGAGTGACTGTCATAAACTTATACCGAGACAGCATTCGAGCGTGCAGATCGTGTCGTGGGACCATAGTGCACCGACCACTGTTCTTTAATGAAGGAGAAAGAAAGAAAACAGGAATTTGTAGAAAGTATCAGAAGGATATTTGGATCAATAATTTTGATACACGGACCAAGCGAAAGTAAGCAATTTTCAGCCATCTTTTGGCAGCGAAAATCATCCCTGGAGCTCAAACCGATTTTTCCCTTTTTCTCGAAACAAAAAAGTATTTTTCAAAACTAACCACAYAGCGTTTCGTAATTCATCATACACTACTAAAATCCAAAAGTAGAGCGAATTCGAAAATTTGAGACTTTCCGCCGTATGTTTGATTTTTACAGACAGTTTAAAAATATTGTTTAAAAAACTAGCTAAAGGCAAAGCACGTCAAAGGAAGCTGTTCGCAACTGTGAAGTTGGCAGAGCCGATACTAAAAAATGCTAGTTATTCTGAAAGAGAATTCCAAAAAAATGGAATGACCTAAATTATCCCTAGAATGGTTGATTCGTATCGTATTTTTAATAAACTCTTTTGCCTCTTCCTAATAGATGTCYAAAATTTATTTGCAGAAAACGTTTGCGCTTGTCAATATTGCCAATGCCAAATTTTTAAATATCAAAAAGGATTAATTGTTCGTTTTCCTGATCAACTGAAAAAGACTTTTGTTGAAGGGTTTGACACCCAACCCAGATTACAACGTTGATTTTTGTATAGGAAGAAATATCTGAGAACCGACGAGAGATTGAAGCGCAGATCTGTGGATAGAATCCACAATCACAGCAGTCARCATKTCTCTTTCTACCAATATGGTTATAGAGAAAATGAAAGTGTTKAACATRTTYCCTGCATTGGTTTTTTTAATCATGAAGGCATTTGAAAGCTGGTCAACAGAGATGTTCGATTATTCTTTATTAAATAACCCAAGTATTTATATATATTTGTGGAGTCCAAATACTAAAATTGTCCATTACATATACATTTCGGGAAACTTTAATTTCAAATGATGGCTTGTTTCATCTGTGTCTCCGAGTTGCACGTYGACATTTGGTTTCTCGCTGCTGCCATTCAAAAGAGATATAAAAGGTGATTTACTGCAGCGAACAATCAAATTTCAGCGAGCACCTCGCACACACAGAGTAYGCATGTTTATTCAAATGGCAGTAAAAGAGAATGGATTTTAATGAAGGTCGTAAATGAGAGAAAAGATATTCTCTGTTAAAGAACAAATTTAAGGTTACACTGACAACAATACTATCATATATCCAGGACACCACAACCAGCACTGTTACGAAAAAGAAGAAGAAATAAAAACGTCCAGTAGGTGGAAAAAGAAAAAGAGTTCTTAAAAAGAGGGGGAAGAAATAGAGTAGAAAAAGAGACCGAAGAAGAAGAAAGGAAAGGCATCGAAAGAAGACCTCAAGAAGTCAGTGAACATGAGCTTGAGAAAAAAACTGTCGTACAGTTCATACTTCTTTTAGACCTTCAAGATATTCACAACCAAGATGAAAAATACTGCCTTTTTGTTTATCTTCCTGTCTTTTCTCGTGAAACTCAAAAAAAGCTCCAAGGATGAATTTAAAGCTTTGGAAAATTACCTCACACTGAATATGATTAATAGTTTTGTGGTCAGTTTTTGACGTTTTGACTGTTTGAAGGAAGCAGGCCATGTTCACAGTGACTGAAGACACACTTTCATGCATCTTATTGAAAACGTAATGCAAACTCTCCTGTTTAATTTTACCATAAGTATATGGAAATACTTCAGGAGCGGATGAGCCTAGCCTGTACGTTTTAAACGTCAAAGAAAGACGGACTCTGGCTTCATCAACGGATTGATAAAAATAAGTTCAAGCTTGACGTTTTAAGGTTTTTGAAATAACACATTTACTTGAGGAAAATGTAACTGAAATTCTTCTTTATAATGAAAATATGAATAATTTGAAAAGATCATCATAAGTGCAGCGAACCATTAAGTTTTTCGATMCGTACCGTAAGATATGGGAGGCAAATTGACAAATATGTACCTTGTCATACGATAAAAATTATTTTAAAAGTTTTAACTTAAAAGGCTTTGACAACCTCTTTCAATCTATACTATACATTCTATATATACAATCTATATATACATTCTTATTCAACTGGACAATCAAACAATCTCAGACCTCATCACTGTCGTACTAATATTAAACAGTTTACTGTAGTTTTTAGGGCTCTAAATTCTGGAATTCTTAACAAAAAAAACATATCTCAGAGCAAGACTCCTTCATCTTTCAAAAAATAAACCCTAAAAAACCATGTTATACTAAGTTCATTTTCTTCCTGATATACTGTTATGGTGTTATAACTTACTTTAACTTATTARATATAGGCATAATTTGATTATCTAATTATTATGATACATTCTTCTTAGATTCTTGTTTTTTTATATTTCTATATCCTAAAAATTACATTGAAACCATCCTATTCATTCGTTATTCCCATTGTTAATTCATATTTATTTAGTTGTCTTTATAGCTAAGAATAAGGCAGTTCAAATTTCATAAGCCCTGTGCTTTCTTTTTGGACTGTCTTTCCTATTGAACAGCTCCAGTCTCTTGTGAAAAAAAAAATAAAAAAATAAAATAAAATAAAATAAAACAAAAAATAAATAAATAAATTGAAAATAAAAAAAATCTATTTACTTATCTGATTATTGATTTCTTGTAAATAATGTTTTATATCGTGTATACAGTATCTCATTTTCTTCTTTTCCTGTTTTTGGTTTCTCGTTTACAGGTGTTTCGGTTGTCTTTTCATGCAATACGCTTACAAAGACTCTTTTCCACAGCAAACAACCTTTTTTACCAAAGCCTTAAATTTCGAACTTTGGAAACTAAATAGATACGGGTCTAGAGCAGCGTTAAGAGAAGCGAACAAAATCATTGCAGTTAGCAAAGGACTTATTGATAATCCAAATAGTAAGTAGTTGATGGTTAAGGGAAACCAGCACACCACAAATGTGACAACTACAGCAAGAACACACAAAGTGACTTTCTTTTTCTTCTTTCTCTCGGTGATCTCTCGTTCTCCTGTAGGTTCGACTGTCTGCTTGCACCAGAGAGAAATGAATATTTTTACAGTAAAAAATATCATCAGAGACAAAGAACATGTTATTTCTAGCAAAGTGTACACCGAGTGAACTTTAATAGGAGTAACTTTAGTAATCGAGCAGTTATATTCTCTGTTTAAGTGAGTATGAACAATAATAGGTGATACTATAACAGCAGCATATATCCAGGACACTACAACGAGCACTTTGACGATCTTCGGCGAGAAACGCTGACGGAAGGTGTGAGGACGACAAACAGCAACGTATCGTTCAACTGATAAACAAACCATGGTGAAAATACAAACTCTGGACGCCATCAAAGCAATATTACTTCCTAAGAGTATTTTGCACATCCAGTCACCAAGAACTCCGTCTGGCACTGAATGACGAAAGAAAGGGAAGAGTATATATTCGGGAGCAAGAAAAACACCAAATAAAAGATCTGCTACAGCCAAGTTTAACAGCAGATAGTTCGTGGGTGTTTTCATTCCTCGTTCATTCCTGATGATGTACATAACTAGGGAGTTTCCTGCTATATTGAAGACAAGAACAACAGAAAACAGAACGGCAAACATAACTTCTTGTGTAGCTGGCATCATGATCTTACGGTCAATTTCCGAAATGCGATCGAACTAACTTGTTACATCTCACATGTACCGCGACTTGAATCCTTCTCAAGGCGATGGGACTTTCTGCTCAAGTAATCATGGTATATTGCTTGTTATAATGCTGTTATGATTTCGTCATTAAACACCTGGCGAACCCAATGTTAGTTATTATAAGTTTAAAACTTTGGGTTTTATTCTTTCATTCGGAAAAACATTGTTATAAGAGTTATGTACATAAAGTTTAATCAAATCCTATTTCATTTGTTCAGTGTTGTAAAGATTAAAGTTGTTTTCACAAATATTGGATTTYTTAAAATAAAAACTGAAAGAGAGATTGATTATTAATATTCCTGATCAATTCAAAAAGGGTATTATTTTAAAGGTAAGGGGCGGCGGAGCCCTTTGGATCGTGAGGGGGGGGGGGGGGGGGGGGGGGGGTTAGGGGGTTCTCAGTGTTCTCTCTACGTATTTCGACTGTTGAGGCATACCATTTAGCGAGCCACTTTTTACAGTTATCAATTGTAGCAAAGCCACGATAATTACTTGCTTTCTGCCTTCAAAACTCTGTTTGTACATCCAAAAGATAAAGTGTTTGACCATAGCTAGAAAGACTACAAAATACTTTGTACCTCAAAGATATCTATCGAAATATAGTGATCTCTCGAAGATTTGTAGTAAATTTCTTAGCAAACTTTTCGAAGCTCGACACGATAGTCTCGTTCTGATGCTACGTTCATCACGATACCGCTGGTTTGTTGGGGTGGCGTKCTCAACTACGATAAGGGCTATTTTTGCCAAAATTGATTAAACGTTGAAACAAAATGTGAGTATTTGCGTGGCTGAAAGAGTGTGTCGCGTATTGATGTAGATTAATTTTCAGTCTGGAAATTAATTGTCCGCATAAAAGTACAGCGTCTCGATCTCTAATTGGTTAACATTTGGCTTTGGTCGATTTTTCAAACATTTATATTATTTTTGTTTTCGTTAAACATAAAAAGAAACAACAACAGATCTAGTATTCAAGCTATTTGAATAACCTTTAGAAGTCATTGTTATTTTTGGTCACGCGAGCCGTGACCAAAAGTAACAATGACTTGTAAAGTTTATTCAAATAGCTTGGACGGGCATAATGACACAAGAGAAAAAGACAAAGACTTGAATACCTTGAGCTCAACAGATACTGTTGAGATATATGGCTAGTGTTTGACACTATTTTTTCGCCACTTAAAAATTCAGTATCCGAAACAAAACGAGTGCATTTTGTTGTATATAAATTGTATCTCATGTGCTGAAATTCTTACAAAAATCTATGGAGGCGTTYCCGAGGAATATGAATTAACTAAAATATTATAGGTGCGGAGAATGTTGTCATGAAAATGCTCTACGTTTGCCGATCTGTAGTTTCAAATAGATATAAGCAAATGCCTCGAAATTCAACACCATAAAAAAGAACATATTCAAAATTTCTCATGCGAAATTCCAGGGCGAAATATTGAACAGATCATGTTTTAGAGCTCTCTTTGTGAGTGATATGGAATTGAATTTGAAAAATCAACAACCAACTTTGGGGCTTCATAATTCTAAAACGGCTAGATATAATTCCTTGAAACTCACTCATCAGCAAGGGCATGACTCAAAATACAACATCCTTAAGTTTGGACAAAATCCATGGGGGATGTTTTGAGACCGATCCGAAAAACTGTTTTTCGGGAATTCCACATACCTTTTGCATAATAAGGACGATCGACATGCCACACCCAATATTTTAAACTTCAATCAATTGACCAATTCATAATTAAAAATCAAATGGCTACAACGAGATGAAGTCTGTTTTAGCGCGATTTGAATGCTACTGGTCGGAACTTTCCGTTACTGATTTTAGCCACCTTAAACAGAATTGACTTTATTTAAATTTAAAACAGCAAATTCCTTTAATAACTACAGCCATGATACCTTGGAGTCTACTAGTAAGAGTCCAATCAATATCGCGAAAGTATAAATTTCTACTTCGGGTAACTTTAATTTCAAATCATGGCTTGATTCRTTTTTAGTCTGCTTAAATTTCACAGTTACGAACAGCTTGCTTTGCCGTGCTTTGCCTTTAGGTAATTTTTTTAAACAATGTTTAATTCTGCTTGTATTTCTCGATCAGCATCTCATTACGAGGACTCTTTTCTACAGCAAAGTACCTTTTTGACCAAAACCTTAAATCTAGAACTTTGAAAGCTGAATAGATACGGGTCGACAGCAGTGTTAACAGACGCAACCAATGCAGTGCAGTTCTGGATGTGAATCCAATCAAATAACATACATAAAAAGGAAACCAACACACTACAAAAGTAACAACTACAGCAAGAACACACCAAGTAACTTTCTTTTTCTTCTTTCTGTCAGCGATCTCTCGTTCTCCTGTAGGTTCGACTGTCTGCTTGCACCAGAGGGACATGCATATCTTGGTCAGGAGAAACACCATCAAAATAATAAAATATACTGATTCTATCAGAATAAAAAAGGAATGGCCTTTAATTAATGTTGTAAATGAGAGGTCGCAGAAAATATGCTTTTGGTTCAAATTAGTATGAATGAATAAGGGGGATGCAACAACTACAGCATATATCCAGGACACCACAACAAGCACTTTCACGATCTTCGGCGAGMAACGCTGATTGAAGGTGTGAGGACGACAAACAGCAAAGTATCGTTCAACTGATAAACAAATCATGGTGAAAATAGAAGCTTTGGACGCCATCCAAGCGATGTTACAAAATAACACTAATTTACACAGCCAGTCACCAAGAACTCCATCAGGCAAGGATGGTCTACCCAACAAAGGCAGGAATATGTATTCAGGAGCAAGAAAAACACCAAATAAAAGATCTGCTACAGCCAAGTTTAACAKCAGATAGTTTGTATACTTTGTTATTACGTTTTAATTAAATCGTATTTCAATAATAAAGTATTACAAAGATTAAAATTTACAAATATTGGTTTTTCGTTTATTAAAACTGGTCGATGTCCTTTTTTTTCTTAACGGCAGGGAGTGATCTCATTCTCTTTATCAATGGAAAAGATGTTCGTATTTGAGATAGATCCCGAATCAAAATAGACTGAATTATGACAGTTGATTTTCATTGAGGGAGGAAAACCGGAGAACCGGGAGTCGAAACCAAATTCAAAATTCAAAATACTTGAAAAAAAACTATTACTATTCTCTATTGATTATTGATTTTATAAGAAATGGTTTATTAATCACAGGCTGTATGGACTAAATTACTGAAGCCTTTTAGGAACGACAGCAACGAAAAATTGTTTCTTTGTTACTAGCCATAACAAAATCCGAGGGAAAGATCACACGTCAACGTGAACGTAGGAAAATGGAACTGRAACTTGCAGATTTGTTTCGAAATGAAGACAAAAATTGGATTTTAACAACCGTGGTGACTTTGATCAATAATACAATCTATGCAGTCTTTGAATAATAGATAGCAGTCGAATAGAATCAATAATTAATTGAGTAGTATATAGAGGAGAAATGAGTATCCCTGCACTTGTCAGATTTTAAAGRAAGATCAAATAAAGTTTACTACGTTCACTACTTCATTACAAAGTTAATGAAATTTCCCCCT